CAAAATGCCAAAATGCACTATAATGATAATAAATCTTAACAATAAATCTCAGAATAAACGTTTCATGTCAACACGACGACTTTCCATTTTTTTTTCAAACGCAGTCCTATATTTTTTATTACAAATATTGATGAAGCGATGAAATCACAATTGGTTCATATATAACACTTGATATTTTGATAGCGTTTCATTTTAAATAACTAGCACCAGTGACAAAAATCAAACAGAAAAATAATTTTTTTCATGATTCATTTTTGGAAAAAAATTAAACCAATGCATGAAATGAAGTCTGCAGCATGACAAACTACAATGAATACTCAAATTGACAATCTCTTTGAAGGCATAAGAGATGTCTGTGGGAATTTTTTAACATGATGATTGTAAAGCTATTACATGCAACTCATTTTTTGTTCAAGATGGTCGAAATCTATACTAGCTCTCCCTAGACTGAAAATCTAAAGGATTGGGGTCTGGAGTCGAGCTGGCCATTTATTTGTTCTACTGTTTCGAATCCATTTTGTTGGGAATATTGCATCTGGATGTTCCCTTACTATTGACTTAGTAAATTAATGGAGATGCTATTCAATTGCACCAAATTACACAACAAACGTATTCTGAACGGAAACTAATAACTGCAGTACTTTCAGGAGAGAGAATTATAAAGATGCTAGCGACGCGACCCGGCTCCACAATACTGATACTAAATATACTACAGAATGTCTTTATATACAACCACAGAAGGTTATTAGCGGGGTACATTACAATATCAGATATAATTACATGAATTTCATATTTGACTGAATACATTGATTTCCTTAACTAATTCTATAGTTTTCTCAACATTGTTATTTAAGGTAAGCTTTATGTTCTCACTGATGTTCAGTAGCTTTCGTTCTTCTTGGAAGTAGGGGAAAAGACATGGGATGTGTTCCACTGTCAGCGGTGTATTGCAGAAGTCACATGATTTGAGAGTTTGCTTCTTGAATAAATGCTCATATGTGATTCTAATGTGACCGATTCTTAAATGAGTTATGCTGACTTGATCTCTCCTGCTTAAGTTTGTATGGTTTTGTTTGGTCAATTTGGGATTTGTTTTAAATGATTTATTCGTAGTTAGTTTTTGCCACCTTTCTGTCCAAACCTGCGATATTTTCATTCAAATCGAACACTATAGATCTTCATGATACATTTTCGATATATTTATCGCTTCGGGGTTGTCAAAGGAGTTACGTGCCACAAAATCTGCGTTTTCGTTGCCGAGAATACCAATATGAAAAGGAACCCATACTATTTCCATCGACCGACCGACATGATGAGGTTCTTGTAGAATAACTTTGATTTGAAGGAGGAGCGGATGCGTTGAATATAGCTGGCTAACCCCTTGACAGCACTAAGTGAATCACTGAAAATATTATGCATTACGAGACCCTACTGATTACATCATAGACGTAAAAGATAAAGAATGTATTAAAAATAATTTTATGAACGCACCTTTTTCCCCCGCAGCTGGCGCCTTATTTGAAAATTCTTTTATTATTGCACATCTACAATATAAAACGAACCAACATATGAAATTTCAGCCTCCGAAAATACGGAGAAACAGTGAAGAAAAAGTAACTTCATTTCATGAATTCCCTTTTTCCCCCGCGGCTGGTACTCCAGTTGGAATATTTAAAAATCCTTCCGTATTGCACATCTACAACATAAAACGAACCTACATACGAGTACAAGATTTCAGCTTCCGAAAATATAGCGGTACGGTGTGATGACAGGGTAATTTTCATATGTAAACGCGTCCCTTTTTCTCCCAAGAGCCCGTGGAGTCCCTGTTGAAATATCTGAAAATTATTTCTTAGTGCGCATCTGAAACGTAAGAAGCAGCTATAAACCAAATTTTAGCTTCCTAGGGCTCACAAGTACGCGGCGGCTCGTCAGAGGAGGCAAGGGAGGCTTAGCATCCCCATAAAATTTGAGGCTATTCATCGCAATAAATTAAAAGATATTGACAAAATTTTTCTGAAAATGCTTGGGTATCATTACTTTACCATTAATGTTTAATATAAATACATAATATGCCCGAAAAAACACTATCACTCACTACGTAGTACGTATATACCACACTGTATCCTGCATTAACAAAACTCAAACGCACCGCCCATGAAAGAATAAACCATCAACCCGAAATAATAAATGCCATACGTTGCAAGGGAGCCAAGCCTACGACCGCTTCAAAACAAACAGGCTCTACGAGACCGATCCAACCAGCGACATACGTCCCGATTTGTAATTTCAGCAGGGCTGCTCCTAGCTATACAATTGTACGAATTGCTATACAATTCAATATTTTTTCGTATATGCTTACCACATTTACGAAAAGCATACATTTTGACTTCATTTGGTTTTACATTGATTCGAATGAGGCCACGGTTGTATATTTACAAATTTCAATAACTTCGTCCTTCGATAGTCGAGTAATCTGTCTACCTCTGTCTTCCGTCTCATTATGATAGGCGCGTCCCGCGTGTCCGTCTGTCATAGAAGTCATAGATCACGATCAGAGAGCACAAAGCACTTAATTTTCAGATCAGTCAAATGTCAAATCTGTCGAAAACCGCTGACGCTGAAAGAAAAATAAATCCACAGTGAGAAAAGACGCATTTTAAGTAAATATTTATGAATGGTAATTGGTAGTTCACCTCACCCCTCTTGATTTTTGTTTTAGGAGACTTTGTGTTGTCATTTGATTTGATACATAATATAAGCTGAAGCTAGATTAGTGAATATACAATTTCCAATTAGTATTGATGCAAATAGTAATCAAATCAATATATTTGCAATAACCACTTCAAAATATTCACATTTCACATACGGAGAAATGTCCGCGCATGCGCTAATCGCTTTATTCCATCTTTGTATCATGCAGAAAGCTGTCACTTGTCAATTATTCTTATGACAGTGTTGGCGACCATTGATGCTATACAATGAGCCTTTTTCCTGAGAATAATACAGCGAATGTGTCACGAAAGGCAGCACTAGTAGTAGGAACAAACATAAACTATTCACATGTAAAACACTGTTATTTACATAATATTAATCCATTATTTAAAAATATAAATCTGATAGAAAAAATTATTTTGTGCTAGTATAATGCCAACAAATCATTGCTGTTTTGCGAATTGTACGTCGGATAATCGATATCCGGAAGAGAACGTGTTTTTTATACCATTCATAAAACCTCATATTAATGAGGTTAGGTGTAAGAAATGGATACATGCTTCAAGGAGAGTGGATTTAACAGTGCAAAAAATAAATAAATATTCACAAGTATGCTCTGAACATGAAATGAATAGTAAATTTTTCATAGTTAATTACCATTGATTAGAATGAGATATAACCTCAATCGTTTATTAAATTATATTCATTTATCATATTTGAAATCCTTCACAGTTGCAAATTTTAGTTTTGCTCCAGGAATATCTTCTTTTGTTAAAAACATTCTTTTTTAATTGTACTTTACCATATGTTTATATGAGGATTAGGCAGTGTTTGTCCCTACCGAACTATTAGCGCTGCTAGTGAGTGATTTTTTGTACTTCAGGAAAAAGGTTCATTATAGCAAAAAACAAACATTTTCATTTGTCATTTTCGTTAACAATTTTTTTGTCTTGGAGCAGCACTGAATTTCAGTTGCAGAAATTATATTGTTAGAGGAGGCCAGTCTTCAGTTGGTCTCCGTTAGTGTACGATTGCGTTTGTTTTTTATTTAATAATTCGGGCGGGATGCCGTGACAGACCGGGACTGAAAAACATTTCGGTAAATCGTTTTAGTGTTTCTTGATAATATTTGTTATTTGTGTATAAAACAGGCAGTATTGTATTATAGCAGTGCTCTTTGGTAACATTTTTAAAGTGTTTTCCTTCCATTTCAAGGTGTTTTCACCTTTCGGTAAGTTTTTTTCCATTTATTATGGATAAGTTGGACGAAATTAAAAAATCTGACGATATAGTCGATTGGTTGCTGACAAATAATTTTAAGTCTTTATCTTATGATAATAAATTTTACATTATTAAAACTCTGGGAAAGCCTCAACCAAATTTGGTTTCAAGTACGGAGAAACACATGAATGAATGAGTGTTAATGAAAATGTAATTTTCATATGTAAACGCACCCCTTTCACCACCACGAGGAGCGCCCCAGTTGGAATATTTGAATATTTTTTATTATTGCACATTCAAGACCTAAAAAGCGCCTATGTGTATACCAACTTTTAGCTTCCTAGGACTTACTAGTACGTAGAAACAGAGATGAATGAGTGAGTGTTAATAAGTATAGAAGACAGATAGATTCCGTATAAAATTTGATTCTGGAAAATCAACCTTGAAACAAGAATTACCTACCGTAATAGAAAAATTTTCAAAAAGGAATGTTAGTTGTGTTGAGGTATTTCCTTATCGAAATTATCAGGTGATGTCTGGGGTATGCCATTAGTTGAATACGTTTTTAAAAAATCGAAACAATTCACAAAAAAACAAACGACATGGCTATTTAAAAATTATTGTCACTAATGATATGATTTAAAAATATCAAGTAGTGTGGTATACCACTGAATGGTGATTTTATTGATTCATCAATATTTGTAAGTAAAAAAATATTGATGATGGTTCAATACAAGATTCATTGTCATATCGATGCAGTACCTTTCGAATATAACTTTTTTTATTTCTTTTTTCCAATGTCATTGTCTTTATAATTGTTACGGTTTATAATATAGCAATGTTACCACATAATAGAAAGAAACGGCCTATATTTTCATCAAATGAATTTATTTCTTTTCATTCGATGAAAGGAATTATCTCTTTCGGTAAACTGTTTTCGGTGAATTCATTGGTGAGTCATTTGTTGAACTCCTCTCTTTACTTCAACGCAACGAGAAAATGAATATTTTTTCAGTGCTACCCTTTGGAATTCTGAGATGAGTAATTGAATTTTGTTTTTGTAGATTATGGAGAGTACGATTTTATCATTGTTGGAGGAGGATCGGCTGGATCAGTGTTGGCGAATAGACTCTCGGAAATCAACGACTGGAAAGTACTTTTGTTAGAAGCCGGGGGCAATCAAACTGATTTTAGTGATATACCAGCATTTAATGGCTATGTATTGCACTCACACATGGATTGGGGATATTATGCAAAACCCAGTAAAACGTTTTGCCAAGGTAAATATCAAATGTATGATGTGACATATAAAATATATTCATTAGAAATGTCCATTCTATCGAGATATATTCGAATCACAAAAAATATGTTGTTCAATTTCAGTAAAAGGGGTTAATTCTGACCTTCTGTCATTCATTTTTTTGTATTATAACAGTGATGAAAATACTAATGAAAGAAAGAATGACATAACTTAAAAAATAATAGGAAGGAATACGCACTTTAAATTACAAAGTTGACCCTTACGTATACATAACAATATATGATATGGAAAGGTATCCAACAATAACACAAGAAACTTTTTCGATATAAGTTATGAAGATTTTCGTGCATTCCTCACAGAGAACTTCTTCTTATTAAATGACAATTTTTACGAGAAGATCGATGTTGCAGCAATGAAGATTCCATTGAGCCCAGTAATAGCAAATATCAAATGAAGGACAATTAGAAGGAAGCATCAGCATAATTTACTTACAAACCTTCGACATAGATCCGAACAATAATTCATAAAAGAAATAACCTGAATCAGTTCATGAAGCATCCGAATGCGAAACGTCATTTGTTTACTTTTCACGGTAAACTGGAAATATGTATACGTAGACCGATATATCATGTCCTTTTCTATAATCATCCCAGGCAAAAACAGTGGATTCACTGAAACTATTGCAGAAAGTTCCTGCAGTATTTTAGAATTTCAACTATTGGCAGTATAAATGAGGCAAATGAGAAAAAACTTCAAAATGGACGAACGATATCTGAAATCGAAAAAGGCCAAAGCTTGGAACAACAAGTAATGATTGGAGAAGCTTGCCTATCCTTCATTTCCATAGTATCAGACCAAATACGTCATCAATTCCTTTTAATATCGAAGTACTTCTGGAGAAGTTATCTACACAAGCTAGTAAAACATCAGAAAAAATTTCATAGACGATCCTCAAATCCAACGGAAAACCATACTTTACTAGACCGTGGACGCAAATACCTAACAGCTACTAATCAAAGTATGAAACCAACGGCTCTATTTCATAAATGAATGATAAAACTGGCCGAAACTTGATGAACATTCATTATAATATATTTGAATTACAATCTATCGTAAGATTTCCACATGGTAATATGACAAAACATTTTTCTTCCTCTACTAGTAATTCGTAGACGAAGCTTACAACGTCACTACACATTTATAGGTTTGTTTATGTTCATTCAAGGAAGTTCACCTTTTCTGCGGAAGATGGTGCCACTATATCCTTTGTACAAATACATATAAAACTATTTTTGGGTAGGTTTTCAATGACCTCATCGGTGATAAAGAAATTTGACTCTTTTTCATTGAATAAACTTCTTGTGAAGAGCCTAAACTTTTTTATGTCATAAATCAATCTAAACAAGAGTTTTGTACTTTCTGGATTTTTTACTGTGAACAGTAGTCAGATTTGAAAATTTGACAAAACTAATGTTTCATATGATTTTATTTTAACACTTCTTGGAAAAAATTGCCGGTTCCCATAAATCAATTTTAATGAGCTATATGCACATTGAATTAACTTATTGATATGTTTTTCGAATCTTAGATCTGAGTCAAATATGACTCCTGAATTTTTGGCTTCATTTACTACAGTTAACAAATTGTCTTTGATTTTTACGTTTATATCTCGCGTTTTAGCACAATTATATGCAGAACCAAACAACAATAATTTTGATTCAGTAGAGTTGATCAGTAAGCAGTGATCAGAAGCTGAATCAATGAAGGTCGCTAGTTCTTGCTTTATAGTTCCACAAGCATTATCCACGAAGAAAAACTGTAATCGATTTAGGTGTCATCTGCATAGACGTGACTCTTACAAAATTTCAGAGATTTTATCAAATTCAGAGTGTATATAGAAAAAAACCAATGTGCTCCGGATAGAGCCCTGAGGTACCCCTGATTTCAGTGTCAAATATTCAGAATGGACCATTTCAATATGTACACACTGATTGAACAGTGGTCAGTAATGAGAAATTAGTCAAATGTTCTCTTATTTGTAACTCAATACTTCTTTCAAGAATCTTAGAAAGAATAGGCAAAATGCTTATCCCCCTAAGATCTTTGTATTCTGCAGGTTGTTGATTTTTGTGTATAACCTTTACTACTTTCTTCCAAACTAACGGGACGACACCATCAGACGTGTATTGAAACACATCTTTGAATAAAATTTATTGTGGAAATTCTATGATTATTATTATTGATAGTATTATAAATGTTCATTGAGTAACGGGTCAGAGTATTTATAATGATAATAATAATGAATTGACATCTTTCAGGGTAGCGGAGTTTAGAGTGAGCTACTCTTACAATCAACGACACATATGTTACTCACTCATACCTACTGACTGGATTATCCAGACTGTCAAAATAGTCTCATTGTTCAACACATTTTCGATTTCAATGGTTATTTTCATTTCAAACGTCAACTGATATTAAAACATGTAAATCCATTCAAAAATGAACAAATTCACTTTACACTATGTGGAAAATATTAATATCTCTGAAAATATTTCACTGATTCAACAGATGTCTGTTGAATAACCACAGTAGTTAGAGTCTGAAAAGAAAGGAGAAAAATATTTATGCTACGTTAAAAACAAAAGTATGGTTTCAAACACCTTCAAGAAAAATTGTTTTGAAATTGTTGACAAAATATTTTTAGCACCGGTAATTTCTGTTTATAGTGGAGAAAAACTTACCCACAAGCACTAATCTACTATTTTATAAACCTTCATTTTATTGTAACTTCTTACGTTCCTTCCTCAGATCTCTCAATGCAAATAAATTATGTGTAACTGAATAACATTTCCAGTATATCTCTGAAATTCTTGTGAACTACCAAATCAACAAGATCAATTGGCAACTCCAAATCGCAGAGTTTACTTAAACCAGAAGATTAGGGTAACGATAGTTATTGATTCATTATTTCACATTGAACGTCTCAAATCTCAAAAATTTCACGTAGCTGAAAAAATATAAGATGATTTTTTTTTCAGGAATGGTAAATAAACAATGCAGTTTTCCTCGAGGAAAGGTACTGGGAGGTTCTGCAGTTTCGAATGTAATGGTATACCATAGAGCATCCCCCTTAGATTATGACTTCTGGGCAAGTTCAGGCAACGATGGTTGGTCTTACAAGGAAGTTTTACCATACTTCATCAAATCTGAACGAATACAAATAGATGAATATGACCACGGATACCACGGTACTAACGGTCCTCTTCGTGTTAACTATACAGCACCACATTCCACTGTGTCAGAACCTTTCTTCAGAGCTTGTGAAGAAAAAGGATTGAAAAGGATTGATTACAACGGAAAAGATACACTTGGGGTATCGAGAGTGCAATTCAATATAAATTTCAATAAACGTGATAATAGTGCACATGCTTTCCTTGATCCTATAATCGATAATCGATCTAATCTGAGAGTGCTACTCAATGCATTCGCCATCAAAATTTTACTGAAAGGTTCTACCGCTGAGGGAGTTGAGTTCGTAAAAGATTGCAAAAGATACATCGTGAAAGCCAGAAAGGAGGTTATTTTATCTAGTGGTTCCATTAACAGTCCCCAACTTCTGATGATTTCTGGAATCGGACCAAAAGAGGAGCTGAACAAACACAAAATAGAAGTAAAAAATGAGTTGCCAGTGGGAAGACATATGAAAGATCACACAATGTTCTTCAATTTGGTGTTCAGAAGTAACGAAGTTGCACCAAACAAAACCCTCAGAGAAAACTTGGAGAGATACATCAAAGGCGAAACTCCTCTCACCAATGCACTAGGAGTTGAAAATGTCGCTTTCATCAACACAAAAATGCCTGGGAAAGGATTACCAGATATAGAGCTCATAACTTCTCCACCACCTCTTGGCGTAGCAAACAAATTACAGTCTATTTTATTCTTCAATTTCGATAGTGATGTCAGTAAAGTTTTCGATGCTTACAATCCCCTAACCGACTTCTCAATATACGTAGTCTTATTGAATCCCAAATCAATTGGATCGGTTACTCTCCAGTCTAAAAATCCTATTGACTTTCCAGTAATTGATTTGAACTACTTTTCCGACCCAAACAATGAGGACATTGAAACTATGTATCAAGGAGTGAAATATGTTTTGAGTTTATCGAAAACGAGAGCTTTCAGGGATATCAACGCCACCTTTATCGGTCATCAGCTAGGGTGTGAGGATCTGAAGAAAAATGGTTCCGAAAGGGAATACTGGTACTGTGCTCTCAGACAATTCTCCACCACAATTTTTCATCCTATGAGCACCACTCGGATGGGGCGTTCTCCTAAGGAGTCAGTAGTAGATAGTAAGTGTTTAGTACACAGAACAAAGAACTTGAGAGTTGTGGATGCTGGAGTGATACCAAATATCATAAGAGGGCACCCTAATGCTCCAATTTACATGATTGCGGAAAAAATATCGGACGAAATCAAAAAGTACTACGGCAAACTGTAAATCATGTAATTATTTGTGTTGGAAATATTATTACTATCTATTCTCTTTTTGAAATATATGGGCGAAGTGTAACCTGAGTCAATATGTAAAAACTACTCCCAACAATTATTTCTTTTTTGATCAATACCGTAGATTGCGGAGGATGGTGGTGTGATGACTGCTACCTAGGATCCTCCGAATTATATTATAGTTTTTAGTACATTATGTGATTATCATTATTTTTTCAATAAATCCGATTGACATAATTTTTTTTACTTACTTTATTTTCATGCTTTCAGTTTCTAATATTATTACTCAACTCTTCAGTTCATTTACTGCCTCAGTATTATAGAGTAATACGTAATCCGCCATTTTCTAGCTGCGGTCAACTTGAATTTACATCTTTTTCAAAGTGTACTACGCTTCTGCTAGTCAATTATTGTTATTTGATACTCATATTTGGGTAGTTGTGGAAAAATATGTAATCTGTAATTTTGTAGCCGCGGCCATCTTAGGTTTACAATGATACAGAATTTATTGAATTGTTGTCATGAAAACTAAATATGTGTACCAAACATCAGATCAATTTGTCAACGTGAAGGGGATCACAAAGTCCTTCCAATAACTGTCGACTAGTTGATCAGATAATAATAATAATAATAATAATTATGGTCTTCATTGGGTGAAATACAATATATATCCAAAAGGCGAAGTTCAAAACTGCAGTGTAGGTTCTATCAGGTTTGTTCTATCACTTTCAGCCAGCCAGCCTCCACAGCCAGCTACGAGAACTGGCAACAAAAAAAATAAAACAAATACAAACAAAAAACAAAAAAAAATTAGAAAAAGTAATACACATCTGATATCAATCAGCATTCCAATAACAAAAAAAATACATATGGATAAACTATTGAGTATTTAAGTTTTTTACCTAGTTGTTCAGTTTTCAATTTTTGCCTAAAAATGCCTATTTTGAAATGTTTTGAATGAGGGGAAAGTTTATTGTAAACGTTGCATATCTGATACGTAAATGATCGTTTGAAAAATTCATGAGTGTGTATCGGAGGAGTTAATAACCCTTTATGTCTTACATTCAAGTTGTGTACGTCAGTTCGAAAAGTAATTTTACTATATACATAGGTCGGAATGTTATTGCAGATAACCTTATGATAGAAACACGCTGAGTGTAACGACCTTTGGTTATCCATGTTGAGCCATATTGAGTTTCTGATAGCTTTGATGAGATTCTGTTCCTTTTACGTACCACATGAATAAGGCTAAGGCAGGAGTTTTGAATCTTTAGGAGTCTTTTCTTGATCCTAATTTTGAGGCTTGGTCCATAGAGTACATCTGCATTGTTCAAAGATGAAAAAACGAGACTGTCACATAGAGTAATTTTTGTGTTTTTAGGGACGAATTTTCGATTTCCGAAAATCAGCTTGAGTGAGAGGTAAGCTTTCTGGATTAGTTTATTCACATGGGAATCAAATCGGAGATCACTGTCTATAGTCACCCCAAGATTTTTTGCTTCCTTCGCAATTTCCAATACATTAGAACCTATACTAATATTGAGTTGTTGTTTTACCACATCTCTGTGATTTTTTGGACCAAATATTAGTAATTTCGACTTAGATATATGATTCACTAAGCACATATCTTCAGCAAGTGATGAAAATGTGTTGAGATCATGACTGATCCGCCTATTAGCGTCATTTACTCTGTGTGGTTCAAAAGAATAATAGATTTGGGTGTCATCGGCATAAAGATGTACACTGCAATACTGAAGGCATTTCACTAATTGACTGGTATATATCGTGAATAGGAGAGGGCCAAGAATTGATCCCTGTGGATCCCTGTTTTTAAATTCGAAAGCGTGGAATGTTCTCCATCAAGAACAACTTCCTGTCGTCTATGGTGTACATAGTTTCGAAAGAAAAGAACTGAATCATCTGATAAGCCAATGTAGTGCAAGAATGACAACAACAGCTCATGATTGATGGTGTCAAATGCCCTGCTGAAATCTAGAAGAGCCAGGATGGTACATTGATTTCGATCACTCGCATTGAAAATATCATCAGTCACCTTCCGTAGAGCTGTAGTACAGCTGTGACCACGCCTAAAACCCGACTGTACTGTTGGTAGTAATTTATTACTATCTAAGTGTGAGCGAAGCTGTTGTTCTATAATTTTTTATATCATTTTAGAGCAAGCAGAAAGGATACTAATGGCCCGCAGATCTTTCAGTTCTACTGTATTTTCGTTTTTTGATATTGAAGTTACCAATGCTGCTTTCCAGATAGCCGGAAAAACGTTCTTATCTATATAAAAGTTGATGATATGCCTTAAATAAGGAAGAATACCTTTGTTATCAAATACCACAGATGAAGCTGTGAAGTGATATAATCCCAACTATTCAGAAAGCCAATTTGAACAAACGTCAATATGTTTCTTTGAAGCGAAGATGAGAAAGTCGAAGTTCTTCAATGTGCCTATTATTGAGATATATCTATACTGGTGTTCCTTATCAGAGTGCTTCCGAATACCAAGGAAAAAACCACCAGTAGAAGGCAAACGAGAGTTTGCCGAAACGTCTTAAAATTAGTCCCAGTAAGGTCCCAGTCTCGTGTGACATTCCCGCTCATTCTGCTACCGATCGGCGGGTTGTGCAGCAAAAGTTATTAACAATTCAATTTGAGCTTTTTCATCTGGTATTATGGAATTTTTTTCATATTTATTGAACCAATTTCGGAAAACTTTTTCACCAAGTCAACCACATACCGATAACTTACATTGTAATTTGGATCTCTTTCATTAATAAGAAATGCCGCCCTTACTGCGGGTATCATTAAACAGCCTAACAATTGAAATGAAGCTTGTTTTGAGCAGAAGAGGCGAAGAAAGCCATAATTTCAGCGATAAGAATTACAAATCCAATTATAAACGCCATCAAAATTTCACTATATTCGATGTTATTGGGCTAATAGCTAATGTTGCTCCTGATGGGAAGTCGAGAAGTTGCCACCTCATTTCCAGATAATAGAAAACCATGCATCTACACTTCTACCGTTCTACACCCACTGAAGTAGGTGTAGAACGGTAGAAGTAAGGTTCTTACTTCTCACCTTACTTACCTTCTTACCTTACTTACTGAAGTAAGTGTAGAACGGTGTTTTTCGAAAACTGCTCAGCAAAAAACAATGAATCAATGTGCCGTTGACATTCTGAGGTTAATATTCACCTGTCCTATAGGGTTCAACCATAAGGATGAAAAATATTCATTCAAAGTGTTACTCTTAAAAATAATTTCGACTTGCACGTTCGATTTCTCATACCATGTATTGGAAGAGAGATATTGAAGGTGAGAAATTTTTAAATTGACACCCTGTATATGAAAGGTCTGATATTTTTTCTCAAAATATCAAATTCCAAACCCATTAGGGCGTTTGTCGAAGTCGAGAGATGAGAGCTTCCTTTTTTATTCCGCACACTGTATGAAATGATAAACAAAATAGTGAAAAACAGTTGTCACTTCAAATTACTCAAGATTTCACGAAGAAAAACACGGGATTTACCTCTCATTATCAGAAGAACTTATAAAAGAACGACCAATTTAATCACCAACCACTAGTCACAGTGATCTATTGCTTGACTATATGCAATTTTGGAGCAATTCAAAAGTATTTCAATTATTTTTTTTCCAACTTTCTTCCACTGTATTCTTAACTAGTCAAGTTTCGGACTTATGAACATTAATTAACTAAAAAGTTTGCCCTTCTACACTTGTATAAAGTTCTCCATTATAATTTTTATATTTTTTCAGATTGTGGAAGGTAACCATTACCCAAAAAAAGGTCGATAAAAAACCGATTTTTTCCTCCACAAAAAATGACTTTCGTTGAATAGTTATTACACTATTTGAGTTACTATAGTCATAATTCACACCACTAATAGAGCTAATATTAAAATCTCCCATTATGAAAGTGTCACTTGTATGCGACATATTATTTTGTATAAACTCAAACATCGTCTCGTATACGCTATAAGAGCATCCCGAGATATTCTTTGAGTGGCAAATTATCGACAAAGCTCTCCACAGTATTCTTCTAAATATTCAGGTATTCGTATATCGCGTACACAAAGGTGATTCAAATGCAATGAAATTGTTCTGAATTTGTATAAACTTTTTGAAGTTCATTTGCGGTAGATTCGAATACCTTTATGAACTTTCTACATGTTCTGCTGGTAATATTATCACACTGTCCAAAAATAGTAAACGAATTCATAAGAACTTCGTTTGAATGGTTTTGTTTCGTCGTTTCGGAGGTAATTGAAACTTCTGAAGTGACGAAAATACCAATATCATTGGGGGAATGTCATAACGTTACTGTCAAATAGTGATCATCGCCTGCTTACAAAATACCGAATGGGAATACCATTCTGAAGGGACATTTTCACAAATAAACGCTCATAACTCCGAAACTTGACTAGCTAGGTATACGAATTATAAACATAAAATGGAAGCAATTCTTTACAGCCTTCTGAATTTTCAATGCCACACTGGGTGTTCCATTTGAAATAATCAACTGACAGCCCCTTTTTCAAGCAAACGGAAAACTGTATTTTTTTTAACACCCTGTATTGAAATAACGGAGTTTACGCTGTAGTGTGGCAAGCCTCCAAACATCATATAACTCCAAACCAAATTTTGGTACCATAATATTTCTCATCTCAAAGATAGCATTTCAAAAAATTGAAATTGATTCATATTTCGAAATCGGTAACAGATAAGTATGGAAAATATCGAGAGAAGTTGTCGGGTAGTTGTTCTAGATTCCAAAAATGATATCATATACAGGGTATTCAATTCGATAAATTGAAGTTGCTACTACAGGGTGTTCTATTCGAAAAATTAAAGTTGCTACTGCAGGGTGTTTTATTCAAAAATTTTTAATTGCTACTACTTTATAATAGAAGTGACAACAACGCATTGTCGAAAATATCTTAGTTGGGTAGATAATGTCCGAATATGCTCTGGATTAAATTTTCGAACTGAAAAAAAGTTTGGCGTATATCAAGAAACCCTGATTCCTTATAGAGGTCATTACAAAAATAGTCACGTTTTTTACCAAGTATAACTTTTATGAGCTAGTCCTGTAGTGTTTAGAGATTTTTTAGGTAGTTGTTAGTTACTCCACCCCAAGCAATAATTCCATAATTCATGTTTGTTTGAACAAGTGTATGATACATGAAACGAAGATAATGTATATCAAAAAATATGTTTGTCTCTTGCTTCCTTCAAACTTCTCAGTAGTATTTTTCTGTCTTTCACACCCTTCTTTGTCAGTTCTTCACTTACTACTATCCCAGTACCTTTCAATTTAGAACAATATTCTAGGATTTCTTATTTGTTTCAAGTATGTAGTGAGTGATAATAAAATTGGTCTATTATGGGTGTTTCTTTCACCTAATCTAAATATGTATATTATTGATTTGGCTGTTTTCCACATGGACTTCCAATTTATTTGTGGATAAATGTGTGATGGATGATACCAGATTATTTTGTTTTCTTCCGATGTTTCTTGTAAACCGTACAGCACAAGATTATTGCTAATGATTTTTCTTTCGACTTTGTTGAGTTGTTGTTTCAGTATTTTATTTTCTTCTTCCAGTTTGTCCGTTTTTTTTTCTGATAGTGTCAACTTCTGAATATAATACTTTCACCAGGTTATTCGTTGACCCTTCAATGTTGTCAATTCTCTCACTCAAATCCTTATTAACTTCATTCAGGAGTATATAAACGTCTTTTATTGACACTTCTGTTTTCGATTCATCCATAGTGGAGAGTATTGTTCTATGTAAACCACTGGCACTGGATTTAATCTGATGTCCACAAAAAACCTTGCTTGAGGCTTGCTTGAGGCGACTAGCAAGTAACTTGCGACAGTTCTCGCGAGAGCAGCTCTCTGGACTACTGTAAACACACCGGAGAGTGGATAGGCAAGCTCGATATACTTGCGATAGTGACTAACAGCAAGTTTTTGCAGCAACAGGTGTATACGCTTGGTAGTATAGTGTCCGAGAGAAATTTCAACTTTCGGAAGCTTTTTGAAATTTGTTGCGAGAGTACCGATAGTTTACAAAAAATGGCGGAAAAGAAGTGTTGGACGAGGTCAGAAACAATTGAACTAATTTTACGTTGGCAATTATGTACCGAAATTTGGGATGTACAAAGTAAAGATTACAGAAACAGAATAAAAGTCCAATTAATAAATTAGCAGTGGAGTTTAAAACAAGTAATAGCGAAATAAGTCGCAAATTCCATAATTTACGCACCCAGTTCCAGCAAGAGATTCGTAAATGTCAAACAAAATCTAGTGGCTCTGGGACCGACGATAAATACGAAAGTAATTGGGAATTCTTCCGATACTTATGTTTATCCGAGGTAGTCAAGCACAAACTACAACTAATCACTAGGTAAGTAGAAAAAAAAGTATATGATATAGGTATTTTAAAATATTTATTTTATTCATAATTATATTGCCAAATTATGTCTCCTTGGGGAGAAACAAAATATTGCATGAATTAGTTCCTTACATCACTGGCAGATGCTGAATAATTGTGAGGTTGCCCTCGCGTCAAATTTAACAAATTCGATGTTGGCATTCCAAGTTGCCTCCATTCTCCAGATAGTGTATCAGTGTCAAAGCTACTTGGCGGTGCATATGAGCTATTTTGATTTCTCATCAGGAAATTATGTAGTACACATTGCAGATACTATAATTGTCGTTTTTTCGGCAGAAAGTTCTATTGGTTTTCGTAAAACGCGAAATCTGTTTGCAATAATACCGAATACGTTTTCAACAATACGTCTAGCTCTCGATAAACGATAATTGAATACATGATTAGGTGCTGGCTGTCCTTGAAAAGGGTATGGTTCCAACAAATATGGTTTTAAAGCGAAGGCATCATCAGCAACAACAACGTAAGGTACATCTTTTGTATGCCCGGGTAGAGGCTGGGTAGCAGGTCAATTCAAGGAGTTCGTTTTTGGAGCATGTGACAATGTGCAATTATTAAATACACCGCCATCTGAAATTCTTCCATAATTTCCAATGTCAACATATATAAACTTATAAGTTGCGTCAACTAATGCCATTAAAACAATACTATTGAAGCCATTATAATTATAATGTAAACTGCCACTGTGTGCAGGCGCTTTCATCGCTATGTGTTTTCCATCTAATGCTCCAACACAATGTGGAAACTGCCAGTGTTTTTCAAATAACTTTGCATGTGTCTCTCACTCCATAGTTGTTTGAGGAACCTAAAAAACAATCTTATATTGTTGAATGCACCTAATGTTAATTATTATACTGAAATTTTTGCAGGAGGCAACAATATCCGAAAATCAACCAGAAAATACCAACAATGAACCCGACAATAGTCAAATGAAAAATGTTGAGTCAGATAGGTCAACAAAAGACATGAGTAGAAACAAGAAAAGAAAAAAAACACTGATGACAACGACGAAATGTTAAAAAAAGCAATGGCAGTTCTTGATAAGTCGTTTGAAGATTGCCAAATTTTCGGAGATTTCATAGCAGCAGAATTAAGAAATTTAGGGTCCAGAGAGAAACAAAAAAAAACTGAAAATTGAAATCCAAAGAGCAGTACTAGAAATGGCAGAAAGTGAGGAGGTAACATCTGCATCTTCGTGGAATACAAGACCTTCTTCGAATGCATCATATTTTTCCAATTATGCTGTTACTTCACCATAACAAGGTATATTATAATGCGTAGATATATTATTTGTCATTACTTACTTTTATATGTTCGTTTTTCAGAGCCTGAAACAGAGCCATACAACATTCAGGTACTAGGCGACCAATCGTACATACAGGAATTCTGAATATATAGATACATGAGCGAATGATAGGACTCACCTAAAAAACAAAGAATTTAAATAATTTTATTTGTCTTACGTTTTTGAAATATATTGTTTTCATTAAACATTTTTTATTATGTATAGTACACTTACCTGTTGCCAAATGCTAAAAACCTTAGGATTACAAATAAACGTTCTTTTGCTGAACTAGAACGACGCATTTTAGTATCATTTTTGGAAATCATGGGGCTGACTAATTCCAAAAGATAATTTATAATCTTCAATATTCATACGAAGGAAATTTGTAAGCGCTTCTGGATCTTCATCTCTTATTTCATTTAGCAATGTTTCACAAACACCTAGCATCGTCTTTAGATCCAATTTCGTACCCACACTTTTCGTTTTCTTTGTTTTTTCTTTTTTTGGGACACACTTTTCAGAGTAGCAGCAGCACACCTAACTGTTGCAGCCGACATTTTCACTGAACATTTTCGCTTGCAGAAGAATATTTCACATTTCTAATGTATACATATCTGATGGTTATTGCGACAGAACAGGAGATATTTCTCTCGCAGATACTTGCAGAGAGTAACTTGCCTCAATATTTGCGTTCATGCGGACAGCATTGTAGAAAGCACTTTCGCAAGAACTGTCGCAAGTTACTTGCTAGTCGACACGTACCTTTAGATCGGCGTTTTTTACTTCACCTCACAGAATGGTAATCGTTCCTATTTATATCGATTTTGATTCTATTGTTCAATTTGAACTTTTGATATCAGTTCACAGCACTAGGCCAATGAACAACATACATTTTCATATAAATTTCAACTATTTATTATACAGGGTCCTGCAACAGTGGCGCGGTGTTCCATATCTCTATATAGGAAGCAGATAGGAATCTAATTTTCTATAATATTACCTTATTTACCTTATTGCTCGAGCTCGACAAAATAAAAATATTGGCGGTCACACAGGGTGTTCGATTTTTTCTGGGCGGATCCCAACTGTGTCTTTTTAAATGGCAACCTATATTTTTTATCGCTTTTTCGGTTTCTTCATAGAAAATAAAATAAACTTTATGTATATCTGCACTTCGAAAATATTGACGGTTTTCGAGATATCTAGCATGACAGGTTTTTTTTTCCA